AACCAATTAAAATGTAGAATGAAAACAGAGCCAATGACAAACCTAGATGGCATGAGAATTGTAATTTGACTCTGATGTTATGTGTAAACAACTAGATAGCCATCGTCATTTTCTAGTGGGAATAAAAAGATATTGAAAGGCTATTGTTTTCTGTTACTTTCTGATTGGCTCCTCTACCCAAAGTTGGAATGTATTGTTTTCATTCTACAATTTGATTGGTTCTCGCTGTCTAATTGGCTCCAGTTATAGTAGCCACATTGTAAATCTTTTAATTGTATCTATGAATATCTGAGGCTAGACGTGCATAAATGAATCTGTGGTTATTTATAACTCTAGTTATATGCATAGAAGGAAGAGTACTATTATCACTCTCTTTATTGCTTTGCACTGATTGCGACAAAAGTCATGCTGCCCATATGCAAGTAATATTGCAATAATATGTTATTGCTCTGGCAAATTGCAATGGTAGATCGTGTTGCAACAAATGACACAGTCTTAATGCAGTCAGAGTCTTAAAAATGATCAAGTCCTGTTAAGGCAAGTTTGTTATATTTGACAACCAGATTTYGTTACATTCTAGTTATGAATTTAATTCTTTGGACATCGACAAAAATACCTGTTCTCTGAAGTCTGAGACTCCTGCTGGCCAAGAAATCAAAAAGAATGGTAAATAAACTATTATAATTTATTATGATTATTGCAAATCACAGGTAATACGCTGTTAGTAATAGTCTACTTAGCATAGCCCTGTTTTTGCAAAATCAATAGCAAAATAAGATGACTTCTGCTCAGGTTGTCGAAACGTCAATCACATCAAACAGTCCTTCTCAGGACTACATCCACCCGGATGATTATATTACTTTGATTAACAAAAATCAATAGTGGCGTYATACAGTAGTACTACACTCACCTTTAGGATAGATTCATGGACTTGGTATCATACAGTACAGGGCTGTATGCGAACTGAGTTTATTGGGTCTCCCTTGATTCCAGAGTTTTTTTCTTGGTTTTCTAATTTTCTTCCTCCTTCCTACTGTAACTCCACTATGTTAGTTAGCTGTGCCCTGAATTTGATAAGCCCAGAGGTTGTTTCAGGGTTCTATCTGTGAGCTAGCCATGCCGTGACTTTGATCAGCCCAGAGGTTGTTTTAGGGTTCCATCTGTGAGTTAGCCATGCTCTGACTTAAAAATCAGCCCAAAGGTTGTTTCAGGGTTTGATCTGTAAGTTAACCATGCCCTGACTTAGATCAGCCCAGAGGTTGTTTCAGGGTTCTATCTGTGAGCTAGCCATGCTGTGACTTTGACCAGCCCAGAGGTTGTTTTAGGGTTCCATCTGTGAGTTAGCCATGCTCTGACTTAAATCAGCCCAAAGGTTGTTTCAGGGTTTGATCTGTGAGTTAACCATGCCCTGACTTAGATCAGCCCAGAGGTTGTTTTAGGGTTTGATCTCTATGTTAGCCATGCCCTGACTTAGATCAGCCCAGAGGTTGTTTTAGNACTTAGATCAGCCCAGAGGTTGTTTTAGGGTTTGATCTCTATGTTAGCCATGCCCTGACTTAGATCAGCCCAGAGGTTGTTTTAGGGTTTGATCTGTGAGTTAACCATGCCCTGACTTAGATTAGCCCAGAGGTTGTTTTAGGGTTTGATCTGTATGTTAGCCATGCCCTGGCTTTGATCAGTCCAGAGTTTGTTTCTATATTTTTATTATGAGTTTGTATATCGGATACAACACGGACACGAATACTGTAGATTACTTATCAAACGTCTAGGCTAGTTCCTTTGTGTTTCACTAAAATTTTCAAAATTAAAGTTAATCTGGCCAAAAAAATCCAATTTAAAGTTTAATCAAATGGATTCAGGATTCTGTATCAGATTTACAACACTTTTCACCGTCCTGATTTCTGTTGTGTTTATCTCATGAATTATTAATGAGTTTGATGTTTTGGTGTGGTATCATAGACACTTGGAGGTGTGACCGTGGTGTGTTTTTTGTCTTCATTCTGCAGTTCGCTGATATCTGTAGCAATTTATATTGTGAAATTGATCTTTTTTCTTTTAGCTAAAGTACGTTTCACCTATGAAGTGGAATGGCAGGTATGTTCTAGTAGTGAAAAAGAACTGCAATTGCAGTTATTTATCATTTTAAAAAAAAATTTTTGAGTTTTGTGTCTAATAAAGTTTATGTAAATCATCCTTATCATCATCATCATCACTCATCATCATCAATCATCACCATTATCAATAATCCTAAATAATAATTCATCAGTCATCATCAATCATTGTTATCACCCATTGCTATCAATCATTAATAAYCATCATCACCATCATTATCATCATCACTCATATCATCATCATGTGTCATCATCATCATTCATCATTATCATATCATCATGTATCATCATTATTGTACATCATCATCAACAGAATCATCATCATCAACAGAATCATCATCATCATCAATGGTTGTGACTCAGTATATTGTTTGATCATTTGACAGTCAAGTAACATAGTATGGGCCTCCAGATGGGATACCTACCTTGCCATGAGTGATGTACAAATACATTGGTTCTCTATTGTCAATTCAGTGGTGATTGTGCTGTTTTTATCAGGTACTTACTCTTGTGTATTGCATTTTACAGTTCAATCCTCTTACAGCAGTTTTCAACTTGGTTGTGAGCAGGATGCTGAAATGTAGTTTTTTGCTTCCTTCAAGTTTTGAATGTTGGCTGTGAAAAACAAAGTTCCGACAGGCAACTCAAAACTACTAAGTTTAAATAATAATAAAAATATAAGATAATTATAAAAAATAAAATTACCCCCTACCCTCAGAAATTCCAAATTTCTCTCTGGGTATGGGGGGTGGGGAGTGTGGTGGATATGGATAATTTCTGGAACTACACAATAAGAACAATTGTACTTAATAATCGGGACTGGGGGGGGGGGGGTGTTCACTGTAATTCACTTAAAAGTGCACCTCATGTGAGCTATTTTTTATTTTATCTTTTATCAAGGTATTGTGGCGATGATTATGATCAGGACACTGCGAAGTGACATTGCTCGCTACAATAAAGAAGATGACTATGTAAGTACATGTGCTACAAGTAATATGATAATAGATGGATAAATGAGGGAACTTTTACAAATAAACACAATAAATGAATTACAGAAAATGTACAATTAATACCAATAGTAAAAAAGAATTGCACAACTTAGCCATAATATAACGGGGGTTCTTATATAGCGCATTTTACATGGTCKCAATGCGCTTCACAATCATGAGCGGTGGAGAACTTTACGGGCTGCRTATTTAATGCAATTATTAGCAATATTATTGCTTTGAAATTCCACGACTTTTGCTGAAAAATCAGTTTTATTAGCTGTCTTTTAACGAAGAAAATTTTGTATTTCACAGGAAGACACAGTTGAAGAGACAGGATGGAAGCTTGTTCATGGTGATGTTTTCAGACCTCCTCAAAAACCCTGGCTATTGACTGCCTTTATTGGGTCTGGTGTACAAATATTTTGCATGGTATTGATTACTCTAGGTGGGTATTACTTTTAAGTCTGCATTCAAACATTTTTGCTTTATAGGAGACTTACTAATAAAGACCARTTATTATTATTATTATCCTCATCATATTCATATTATTATATTCTCACCCATCCCTCCTCTCYTCTCTATAAATGGTCCCTTATGCTGCGTGCAGTCATAACCCATTGGAGACTACAATGTAGAAGAGTGTAAGAAGTATGGTATGAAGCAGAGTGCTTCTCAACACTCTTGGAGTAAGCTGTCAATCTAAAAGTGCTACTTAACTGCAAACAGTCTGAATGCATGAGGCAGCATTTTCTATAATATCTTCTGTATCTTTCTCCGATAAATAATAAGCATTCCCTAGTATTTCCTTTTGCACCACTAATGAACTAGAAAGAAATAGAAGGTGTTTTGTTTTCAATATTTCAAATATTTTTTGATTTGTTTCAGTGTTTGCAATGCTGGGAATGCTGTCGCCAGCTAGTCGTGGAAGCCTGGTACAAGCTATTATTCTACTTTATGTTTTCATGGGGTACGTTGATAGCAAATCTTAACTCTTTTTCTTTTAAATGTTATGTCATTCATTTGATAGCAGGCAGCACTTGCTAATGGATACTAATGCATACTTTTTTTTTGCATCTACTAAAATGCTAATATATTAAGTTTCATCACTTCATATTGCTGGTTTTCATAGCCACCATGTTGGATAAATTAAAAAAAGAGACATGTATTATCTCTTTTGTTACAGAATATCATTCAACATGGCTGCCATACTTGTCTCTTGTTATTTGATTCTTTTGGAAATGATTGAAAAACAGCAATATTAGTTAATTATTAATTACATTTTGCCTTTATTTTCAGTGTGTTTGCTGGCTATCATGCTGGTCGACTTTACAAGACTTTGAAGGGTGTAAACTGGAAGAAGTCAACAGTAGTGGTAAGTGCTATATAAATGGTTTCACTGCAGTCAAACATTTATGAGGTGATGGCAACCTTTGGAGAATTGCCAAGTTGTCAATAAATAGCTAGAGGTTAATTATTTATAAGCATCCTCTTCGAGAAGTACAGGGGTTGTGTGCTTCTAATGCATCATGTCTCACCAATAGGCCTTTTCTAAATTCAATAAACAGGATGCATTGAGGTCTAGGTTCGGTTCAAGCAACACCATAAAAGCCGCATGATGGACAAAAGATTTTTGTATCCTAGCTAGACCACAATGCACCATGATTGCTATGTCAGCAAAGGTCTATTTGACCTTCATCTGAATTCTGGGCTGGGTGTGGATCTCAAAAGCATAAAATGTAGAATATAGAACAGCTGTAACTACAGTACATATGATTGAGAGGATAATTTATAATTTGTGCTTTAGGTTCTGTTAATATTGATCTGTATTATAAAATTGATCTTTTACAGACTGCAGCACTTTATCCTGGCTTTGTGTCAGCCATCTGCTTTTTCCTCAACTTCTTTATTTGGGGAAAGCATTCCTCTGGAGCTGTAAGTATATACTTCACAGCTGCTGCTATCTATTATTTCCATTGGTATTTACTTGAAAAGTTTACTTTCCTTTTATCAATAAAAAATTATCAATAATTACTAAATAATGAGAATGCTTAACATTATTAGCAAACACTTTCATTTTCCTACATATTTTTAAAACCCCTGAACAGGGCTTATAATAATTGCAGGTCATCAGACAATGTCCACCCAGAATTTATTTGAACTTGTCAGGTCAAATATTTTTCTTGCTGGTCATTTTGACCAGTAATGGTTGAGCCAGAAACAAGGCATGACCATTCTAAAACTAATTTGGCCAGTTATCATGACCTGCAACTGACCAGCCATTACTTTAGGCCCTATGTGAAAAATGTAGAGGGTGATTTGTGAATTCCAGGTTTAGTGTGACACATGGTTCTTCTACCCATTTTTCTTTTTGGGTTGAAACAGGGTTGCAAAGGGTAGCACAGGGTTACATATGATGCATGTTTTGAGCTGAGATAGGTGTGTAGTTATTATGTGAAAGCTGCAAAATGTAGGAGTGTGATAAATTTATGATAACTATACCCCTACTACGAGCTGCATCTAAATTTCTCTCCCTCCCCCAGATTGGAAATTCCAGACCAAAATGCTCTCCCTCTCCTTCTTCGGATTTCCAAAATGCTGTCCATGGTAGGAGTATGGATATTTTCTGGAACTACTACTGTACRCATTCCAGGCTTACTCTGACTCATGATTCACCTAACACACATTTTCCTCTCTGGGTTGAATCTTTAGAGTAATCATTTAGTGTTAATTTTTATAATTACAATTTATCATTGATAGGTTCCATTCACCACCATGATTGCTCTATTGTGTTTATGGGTTGGAGTTTCTCTACCGTTAGTGTTTTTAGGATACTACTTTGGCTATCGTAAATATGTAAGTACAGTAGTTACGAGATACAGTACCAGCTACTTGACAGATTATGTGGACCTTCATCACACAGCACCATGTTTATTCCCGTGTGAATAAAAACTTTCATTTAAACCAGCATCGTGGTAAAGGTCCCTTAATGAAGGGAAACTCTCCCATTTCCTGTTCACCTTTGCTCAGTCTTAGCCTCGATTGTGTACAAATRTGTTCTATTGTGTTCTATTATGTTCTTTTCTTTTATTAAGGTTGATTGTATAGTAAGGAGTGTATGTACTACGGTACAATAGGTGTTAGTTAAAATTATTATTATTATTATTATCATCATCATCATCATCATCATTAGAGCAACCAGCCAGTAGTAACTACATGTACTCATTAGATAGCCAATAGATCTATGTCTTATCCTTTCTGTTATACACTTGTCTAAGACTGGCCTTTGTTATTGTGAAATTATTTTTGTGTTGCTGTCGGTATTAGTTTCTCATTTGTTAATTAACCTTTTTTAGATACAATCTTTATCATCTTATTAACCACTCCATTTTTCTTCATTAAAGCCATATGAACATCCAGTACGAACAAACCAGATCCCAAGACAAGTRCCTGAACAGATGTGGTACATGAAAACTTTGCCAAGGTAAACCAAAGAATCAGTTGGGATTTAAGAAATATAATATATTATCATATAATTATCCATAAAATACCTATATTTCTCCTTTTCAAAAAACTGATATTTTCACGTGTGAAAATAACGTGTGAAAATAACGTTATTTTCACAAGTGAAAATATCGTTATCATGTGTATTTAAGCTATTGGTTTATAAATTAAAAACTTTTTATAATAATTAAAAACTTATTAAGTTGATTTTATGGATAATTATATAATAAACAGAATATTACATGCGCTCACTCGTGAGAGTTCTTTTCAACACTCGCAGATAAATTTCGTATCTCCGCGCGCCCATGTAATACCCTCTATTTAACAGATAGTCATAACAGATTTCCAGTTCAGATTCTCTGATCTAAACATGCAAGATGATGAGAACACATGCCAAGAAAAGTGTAGAAAACCAAGATCAAACTCTTTTAAATATCAAGTACACAAATTAATAAAAAATATGTTTTACTTTTCTAAAGTTTAAATTGAATCATAGATCTAGAAGATGTACTAAAAGATGACATGAGCATTTTAGATACTCTCATTGAAAATAGCATTTCCACCAATTGGAACATGCTTTAGAACTCAGTTTTTTAATCATTGTATCGCTTGGGGCATTCTCAGCATGCTAGAAAATTGGATGTCGTTGTGGCCACAATTTTTCCATATTTGTATCATTTTAAGAATTTTTCTATTTTTTTAATTTCTTGAAATTGCAGTCAGGAGTCATATCCCCC